TAAACAAAACCTGAAAGAACTTGCCAACACTAGACCGGCTCTCCAAGAGTTCTGAAGGAGTGCTATCCCAGGAAAAACTAAATTCAGACACACAGAAATAAGAGATCTAAAACAACTAAGAAAATGGCCAGCTTAATGGGAAGGACAAGTCCAGAGGTGAACGTTATCTTCCAGAATTTAAACAGGAAGATCAGACCACAACAGGAAATAAAGTACATGAGTTTGAACTGGTGAAATAGAATTTTATGACTTTTGACTAAAGCATTACTGATCTATGCTTTGTTTTCCAGTGTTAAGGAGTTTTGTCTTCTCATGAGTTGTGGACAGGTTCATGTAACTACTATTCGAACTGAATCCTATTTCCTAGATTTAAGTATTAAGCAATGTTCTCTTAACATTTTCTAATTTTGACTTATTAAAGTTAAAACTGCCTTTCTTGAAATTAGTAAATAAAATTTTTAAAATACCTATTTAATGATCACAATAAGCTATATGGTCTCAACTATGTGCTACTTTATAGTATATTTATTCTACCCACAGAGTGTCATGCCTAAAGTCAACTTTTGTTCATAGATATGTATATATAAGCTGAATTTACTATTGACAATATTTAGATTAATTTAGATATTTTGTGAATCAATGAAATATGGGAAATAATAAAAGAATGAAAAGCAACTACAGATACCAAACAGGGTGGGAGGAGGATGGGCAATGGCAGAGGGTGAGAAATAGGGGGGGAAGGAATATATATATACAAGAAACAAGAAATGGAAAATTATCTGTGGACAATAACATGCATGATTAAGCCACTGTACAGTGTATTCTGGCTGGAAAATCGCATTTTGTATGCTGTGCTGATGTTCAGTTAAGAATGTAAAATGAATGAATTAATTAATTTAAAAAAACAATAACCGTAAATCTAAGAGTAGCTAAAAAAAAGAGAATTTTAAATGTTCCCAACACAAAATGAGAAATGATTGAGATGATTTAATCACTACACACACATTGAAAAATAAATTTGTATCCTCTCAAGTATTTACAATTATTAAATGTCAATAAGACATTTTTTAAGAGTACATAACAGTCTCATCATATAGATTTGAAGCAACTTATCCATATTCCCCTTCCATACTTAATGTTACATGAGTGCAAAGGCTAAACCTTGCTGGAGGGAATGGAGGACAATCAAACAATTGTAGTTAGAAGGAACACAGCCTGGGACTCTGCAGAAGCTAGGGAGTGAGGATTAGCTAATAAGGAGGAGTTCTGGGTTACCTTTGAGAATGGAGAACATAGGAAAGTAAGTACCTAACACTGATCAAGAAGTTATTATTCTTTTCCTCTTTTATTCTTTCCTCTCCACCTCAACTGTCTCCTACTTTCAACAACACATCAACACTTTCATGTCTTTCAATTTAACACTAACCCACCTGCTTGAAGGATGTGTTGGGGATCTCTCTCTTGGAAGAAACAAAGGAATTTAATATTTTTTTAATTAAAAAAAAAAAAAAGAAACAGATTTCTCTCTTTATCCTTTACCTCCCATTTTCTCTTTGACTCACAACAACCTGGATTTTGCTTTTACTATTTCACTAAAACTGTCCTTGAAATGAATTATCAGTGAAAGCCTACCTTGGGCTACTTCATCATTCTCCTGTTTGACCTACTATAATACTTGACCCCAATTCTCTTCCCCCTTACCTCTTGGGACATGACTCTTTCCTATTTTTACCTCATTTTTCTTGCTGCTATTTCTTATACTCTTTTGTAAGTTCTTCTTCCTCCACCCACTCTTTTAAAGTGTAACATTTATTGGACTTCCATCATTCTCTCTCCTTCTTGTACTAAACATACTCTTTAGATGATATCATAATACTCCCATGGCATCACCTGCCACGTATATGTGAATGATTTCCAAAGCTCAGACTTCTTTTCTGATATAGATCAAGATGTCTCTCACTAGACCTGTCCATTTGAAGTTCCCACTGTCATATAAAACTCATAAATGACCATCTTCCAACCCAAACATGCTACTCATTCTACATTGTCTATTCCTTTTAAAAACTTTATAATTGCTAAGTTTATGAAGCCACAATATTAGTCAACCTTTACTTCTTAGGGTTCCTTATCCCCCAGATCTAAAAACCATCAAACCTTTAGCTCCTTGATTCTAACTCCTACATCACACAAGGCTATCTCTTCCTCTCTCTTTTTACTAACACTAGCTCAGATCAGGCTCTCTGTTTCTCAGATTAATGAATCAACCTTCTAATGCCTCTCTGTGCCCCCAAATTTGCCCTCATATATGAGTTTCCCATAGTTCTGTAAAAAAGCACATTTCCATAAGTCAAATTTGATCATTACATTTCTCTGCTTAACATTCTTTTAACAGGGGCCAGCAGGTGGCATGGTGGAACATTTCTCTGCTTAACATTCTTTTAACAGGAGCCAGCAGATGGCATGGTGGTTAAGGCACTGGACTCCCACATGGCTGACCATGGTTCAAGTCCGAGACCTGGTGGCTTGCCTTCTCACTTTCCATCTCTCTCTCTCTCACTTGCTCTCCCTAGTAAAATTTTAAAAATAGTAATAACAAAATTAAATAATTTTTAAAAAGATTATTTTAACAATGTTAATGATTCTTTGCGACTGTGACACATTGCAAAAATGGTAACAATTTTCAACACTTTTTGCAATGTGATTTTGCAGGTTCTATAATAAGAAATGGAGTCTATTTCTCTGCCACTTGAATCTGGGATACCAGATTTTGAGACTTCATTTGGCCAATAGAATGTACAGAAGCTATAGAAGTTCAGACTTCAAGGCTTTGCTTACTTCTGTTCTCAATCTTAGAAGTCTGCAAGTTTTTGTGAACAAACTTGGGCTCGCTTGCTGTATGCAGAGAGAAATGTGGCCAAATAGCTCCTGTCCCCAGCTGACTTCCTCTTCCTCAGAAACTGTGCTGCCTGTGACCAGCTCCCCAACTGCTGCACACGAGTGTGCTCAGTCAGGACCAGAGGAACCTCCCAACCGCAGTGAGTCTAAATTTCCAAACCACAGAATCATGAGCTAAATAAAGACACTAAGTTTTAGATTGACTTATTAAGTAGCCAAAGATCCTTGATGAAATAACCTTTAGGGAAAACAATCCAAACTCTATGATGGTACATACACCACACTCTTCCAGACCTGTTAATTTGCCCCTCCTACAACTTCATTTCTTGGTCCTTCACTTAGCACTACATCTTTCAGTCATGTGAACTTATTCTTCCCCAAAGTTTTCCATGCTCTCTCATGACTCTATGTCACTCTTGCAGATACAGCCGTAGAGGTCATCAGGCTGGCCCCCAGGAAGCCTGTCTCAATCCCCTGCTTACTTTTACCTGCATGACACTAACGTACGATGTTGTGATCGCTAGTCCATTTGACCATTCCCTAAATTTCTTCTTGTGTCTCTGTCTGGACTCTCTGGCCAGCACAATGCCTCACATACAGTAGATGGCCATTACTACTTATGGAGTCATCAAATGAATGAATAAAATATACTATTTTTATGTCTCTTAAAAACTGGATAAATTCTGAAATCCAAAGATATACAGAACCAATGTCGTTACTAAATTGGTTTGTAGATCTCACATAGTCTTGGGATAATTAGAGTGAAATTCAGTGAACTTTTCTTGTAGTATTTCTTCCTATATTTTCTCATCTCATCTCCTTGTTCATCCCAAAGAAGGAGTGTCTGTGTTCTCAAATAAGACTTACCTTACAAATGCTACTGTGATTATTAATTTGGGGTTGTCAACTTGACAGGATGGGAGAATGTCTTGAAGTGTGGTGAAAGGTTGTTTCTAAGTATGCTTATAATAATGCTACCAAACAATACTGCTGTGTTAGTCAGTGTACTAAGAGAGGAAGACTGATCTTCAATGTAGGCAGGCACCAACCAGTCAACTGGGAGTGTGAGAGGGACAAACAGAGAAAGTAGGGCTCTGTTTTCTCATTCTCTTCCCTTTCCAGACTGCTGTGTGTTCTACTCCTACACACTACCTCCTTCATCCTTGCTCTTCACTCAGCCTTTGGCTAAGTTTGTTCTGATTGCTCCTGGTCCTCGCAATCCCTATAGCCAGCCAAGTCTTTAACTTTCAGCCTCTGGACACACACCAGAGGGTGCTCAGGCCTGTGCCCTTCTGAAGTCCCACTTTAGACCTCAGACTGGAACTGTATCAACTTCCTTCCTTTGGACTCTTTCAGCTGTTTTGGATAGCCTATCGTGGGCCTCCTCCAACTTATGATTATGTCAAAGAATTTCCTAGAATTAATTCCTTCTTGGGATGGCATAATGGTTATATCACTGGACTCCCACATAGTCATCATGGTTCTAGTTGCAGACCCAACAGCTTAAAACTCACAATAGACACGTGTTTATGTGTGCCCAAAATCCCAAAAGAAAAAACGACCATGATGTGTCCATCTTTTCTAGGGGGTGATTTCTCACTTTCTGTCTCTCTGTTTCTCTGTCTCCAGCAAGTACATGTGCCCTATAGCAGAAATCTCTGTACCAAATAAATAAATCCGTTCTTGTACATATACATTTATCCTATTGGTTCTGATTCTCTGAGAACCCTAACATATATAGCTATTAAAGAGACACAGATTTGTATCTGTTGTTCACACACAATGTCTACTATGGAAATGATGCTCCAGAGATTTCACTCTGCAACATAAACTCATACTCACACACACACACACACACACACACACACACACACACATCAATTTCTCTAAAGAGAATGGGTTCCATTATTTTTACAGGAAAGTAACTAAATCCAAATAAAAAATAAAATTCCCAATGATTTCCTCAAATTATGTCCCAAATATGATTTCTTTTTTAGATTTCTAGATAATCTGATAATAATTATATTGTTAGATATAATTTTCTAACTGGTACCTTTACTTAGTGTAAGGGAGGGATTGCTTTTTGATTCAGTAGACACACTTACCTATAAAAGCAATAAAGAACGAGATTGCCAATAGCAGGAGAAGTATAAACAACGAGGAAAGAATCAGCTTGGAAAATCCATGATTACTTTTGTGAACAGTGGTCTTCTCTTTGAGAACTGGAAAAGAAACCAGTTAAGTTCCTGAGGAATAAATGTTGTCCCTATTGCCTGTTTCTCCTCTTCTCTGTTTTCTTAGATGACATAGTTACTAATAATATGACATTTGAAATCATTAAAAGTAGGGGGGAAAAAGAAGATAATAATGCTTATTGCATAAACTTTGTAAAATAAAAGCACAAAGTTTAAACACTGAATATTTTCATACATATCATTCCATCAATGTGTGTAAAGTGTGTGTATATATACATGTATATTTTCCCAAATGATTGACACACCATGAATACTAATCTATGACCTATTATTTTCTTTTACACCATTGCAAATATTTTTATGCCACCATATTTTCTCCTTTAAAATTCTTTAGTATGGTGGCATAGTATTTCACTATATATTAACATTTAAATAAACATCCACATTTTTTTCAAGTTTACATTAAATAATGCAGTAGCAGATAAATCTTTGTAATCATCTTTCATTACATCTTTAGAATAAGGTCAATTTTAGTCCTTATCTGCAGTTCTGAAAATTTTCATAAAATTATTACGTATTCTCTTTTTGTTTTTTGGTTTTTTTTTTTTTTTTTGGA